AGTTCTGCCAAGGTCAGGTTAATTCCTAATGTTCCTCAGTGTTCTCCTTGGTCTTCCCAGCAGGGACATAAATCATGGGCACACAGCCCTGGTGGCATCACCAGTGGCACCCTGGACAGTTGGAGTCACCCTGAAGTGACGAGAGAGGGGTCAAATCCCAGACTCCTTGCACAAGGTCCAAAAGTCTCATTGGAGATTTTAACTAAAAACCCAAGGAATCCTGAAAAAGCTACCCCAAATCCCCCTCACAAGCCAGTGTGAGCTCAAAGCCCAGGCAAACTCCAGCTCAAACCTTCTCCCAGACTGGATAACCTCTCTCCCTTCTCCCAAACAACATTTCCAACCACCAGGAGCCCCAGGGAGCTGCATGCAGTGTGCTGAACCCCTGCTTCCACTACAGACCCAAGGAGCACCTGGAAGCATCAATAAGCATTCAAATCCCCCCTTTTTTCATCAGGATGGACACCCAGAATCCTAAAATGTGGGAGTCTCTGCTTTCATGGGTGGCTGGAGTCATTTTATCAGGATTAGGAAAGGGCTTTATCCTTGGAAGGCCCCTTGGGTGGCTGAGGCTTTACCTCTGCTCCTGCTTTGGGGACCAGGAGCCCCAGGGAGCTGAGTTTACCCAGGCCTGGCTTTGTTATGCTCCCCAGCACCAAAACCAACCCATTATTCCAACAAAAGGAGTTTTTCCAGCCCTTCTATCCCTCCCAGCCGAGGACTCCGCCGCCGTTTCCCGCTCAAAGCACCGAGGCTCAAAGCACCCACTCCCGCTCCAGACTAATTAAGATGGATGTTGATTGTCCCCAGTGCTCATTACCCAAGAGAAAACCCATTAGCAGCTCTGATGGAACCGTTCCTTGCGCTCGCCACCTCCCACTGCTGAAAAATGCTGGACTTCTGCTTTTCTGTCGGGTTAAGAGACAGGAGTCATGGAATGGTTTGGGTTGGAAGGGACCTTAAAGCCCATCCAGTGCTACCCCTGCCATGGCAGGGACACCTCCCACTGTCCCAGGCTGCTCCCAGCCCCAATGTCCAGCCTGGCCTTGGGCACTGCCAGGGATCCAGGGTGGGCACCCTGTGCCAGGGCCTGCCCACCCTGCCAGGGAACAATTCCCAATTCCCAATATCCCATCCATCCCTGCCCTCTGGCACTGGGAGCCATTCCCTGTGTCCTGTCCCTCCATCCCTTGTCCCCAGGGTCTCTCCAGCTCTCCTGGAGCCCCTTCAGGCCCTGCAAGGGGCTCTGAGCTCTCCCTGGAGCCTTCTCTTTTCCAGTCTCAATCCCACTGTTTTTATCATTGATGAAGATATTAAACAGTGCTGGTCCCATTTATCCCTAAAAAAAATGTTAATATAGTGTCATATATCCCTAAAAACGTTAATAATGTGAAATCATATCTTTAACCCCAACTCTCCCACCCTCAGCCAGCTGCTGCCTCAGTTTCCCCTTCCATTTTTTCCCCCCTGTGGGCCGTGCTGTTTGGATGGGGAAATTTCTTTGTGCTAATGAGACGATCCCTGAATATCACAGGCAATCAGGAAGGAAAACGTCGGGATGGGGAAAAGTAAAAATAAACCCAGCTATAAATAACCAACCCCCTTCCGGCAGCGCCGGTGGCACGGCGTGGTGAAGCCCCTTCCCAGGGACACACAGCTGCTCCCCGACGTGCAGGGAAACGGAGATTTCTGCAACAGCCACAAGGAATTGCTGGGATTTTGTGGGAAAAACGGCCTCGAGTGGCCACTTGTGGGCTCCCGGGGGAAAAGTGGTGACCCAGAAAGTCCTGCCCTGGGAATGGGCACAGGGAGGGTGGGGAAATCCTGGTATCCTGGGTTCACAGCCATAATCCCCTCCTCAGGCAGCTGGGAATTATTTGCCCCACTCTAAACAAAGCCTGGTTTAAAGTTATTCCCATAAACCTGCGAGGAAATCTCAGGTTCCTTTGGGAATGTCTCATTTGAAGAGTGATGCTCACCCAGTGCCACCTCCTGGACCATTCCCAGGATCCTGGACATTCCACACTGTCCCCTTCCTATCTCATTCCCTACAACACCCTAGCAGCAGCTCTCATGGCAGAAAAGCCCCCAGGGTGTCACCTCCATTAGGAAAAACCTGAAATGTCCCATTGGAAGAGTGGGAATGTCCCATTGGAAGAGTGATGCTCTCCCAGTGCCACCTCCTGGACCATTCCCAATATCCTACACCATTCCCAGGATCCTGGACATTCCCACACTATCCCCTTCCATTCTCATTCCCTACAAACCCAAGCAGAAGCTCTCATGGCAGAAAAGCCCCCAGGGTGTCACATCCCTTTGGAAAAACCTGAAATGTGGATGGGAGGGAAAGCTCCACATGGTGAAAAGACTTTCCCCACACCAGAGACTTCCCAAAAATGTTCAGCCAAGGATGAACCAGACAAGGAGTGCCAGCACAAGAGCAAGGAAGCATCCTCGGATGTAGGGATTGGATCAGACATAAGGAAAAGTTTTCCCCAGTGAGGGTGGGCAGGTCCTGGCACAGGGTGCCCAGAGCAGCTGTTTCCTATCCAGGTTTCTCCAAGCCCTGTCCAGCCTGGCCTTGGGCACTGCCAGGGATCCAGGGGCAGCCACAGCTGCTCTGGGCACCCTGTGCCAGGGCCTGCCCACCCTGCCAGGGAACAATTCCTAATTCCCAATATCCCATCTAACCCTACTGTCCTTTGGTTTAAAGCTGATATTGGTTCAATTTTCAAAGGATGCAGATAAAAGTGGGTTGTAGGAACAAGCAAACGATGCCTGGAAATGTTGTGAGCTTGGGTTATATTTTGGGCAATTTAATACATTTACATTTTGACCTTAAAAAACAAGACCAAGTGCAGCTGGAAGAGGAACAGGACGAGCAGAGCTCCACGTTCCTCACATTAATTCACCAGGTTGCAGCAGCACACAGACTGATTTTGTCCAGCTGTCAAAAATGGCACCTTTCTGCCTTTACAGAAAGACCCATTTGAATAGAAAATGGAAGAGAAAACATTCCCGGGCTCAAATTAAAAAAATAAAAGAAGAAAAATTTTAAAAAATCAAGGAATAAATGTCCCAGGTTTTGCTATTGAATAGCCCTGAAAAGCTGAGCAAATGGGGGCTGCAGGGGGACGGGATGGAGACGCCGCCTTTTCCTTTGGGAACGCGCTGTGACACACGGATGGGGGCTCTGACTCATCCATCAATACATGTGTTTGCACACTTTCCCAAAAGCTTTTGGCCTGGAACTACCCAATAGATGGAAACGCTGCGGAATTTTCCCCAGATGGCTCATTTTTGGTCCCCGAATAAAAGGCGTTGTTTTTTCCAGTCGCCAGCTGGGGAGAGCTGGTCCCATTTTGGAGTCACCCTGACCCCTGAGGGTGAAACCCCAAAGGCAGACACTATCCCCCAAACCCACCCGAGCAGGGGTGATGTAACACAAATTTGGGGTGAAACCCTTTTGTTTTGGACAAAGAGGGAGCAGAACACCTGCAGAGCCGCCCCATCTGGGATCAGGGACTGGGAGGTGCCACTTTCAAGGGAAAATTAGGGACATTAGGGAAAGATGATGCAATATTTCATCACTGATGGCTGTTGGTGCCATTCCACTGCTTTTTGAAATGCTGCCAGGAGGAAAATTCAACCTCACCTTGGAGAAACTTCTCTGGGAGAAAATAACCTGGGTGGGATGAAAAACAGGACTGTGTCCAGTCCATGGCTGAAAGCATGGTCTGGAGGTGAAGGAAATCACAGAATTCCCTGGAACAAATGCATTTCCCATGAAAACAGCTGCTCTGGGAGAAGTTGCAGCCACTTTGCCTTCAGGCCAGATGGGATTTTTTGCCCAACCAAGCGTGGATTACACTGGGAGACTCTGTGCTGCATTCCCATTGAGAATGGGGTGAGGGCAGGTATTTAGGAATGCCATGAGACCAAGAAAGCTGTGGAGGTGTTGGGTGGTCTGGAAGCCCCCAAATCCCACCTCACTACCCTGAGAGTTGCAAGGAGCCTCCCAAACTTCCAGGGCCTGAAGGGGGTCCAGGAGAGCTGGAGAGGGAGTGGGGACAAGGGAGGGAGGGACAGGACACAGGGAATGGCTCCCAGTGCCAGAGGGCAGGGCTGGATGGGATATTGGGAATTGGGAATTGTTCCCTGGCAGGGTGGGCAGGCCCTGGCACAGGGTGCCCAGTGCAGCTGGGGCTGCCCCTGGATCCCTGGCAGTGCCCAAGGTCAGGCTGGAATAACCTGGGGTAGTGGAAGGTGTTAAAGCCCTGGATTGGCTTTAAGGTCTCTCCCACCCTAACCCAAACCATTCCATGATTCCATGTTGCTTCATGCCACTGGATAAACAAACCATTCCTGCCCAGAACTCCTCTCCTACAGAAGAATGACCTGCCTGGACAGACTTTTGGATTTGCTGTGTCCTCCACACCACAAATCCCAGCACGTGGAGAATATGGATACAGCACATGGAGAGCATCCCTTCCTTAGGGGAGAAAACTCAACACAACAGCACCACTGGACTAGAGGAAAAAAAGATGGGGAAAACGTCGTAGACAACTTTTATGAAAAATCCTTTCCTTAAGATTTTTCCTTCTGAGAAGCTGAGAAGCCTCAGGAACAAAATGTAAACATTGATTATCTGCCGCTGTGGAATGCAACATGTGCATCTGTGATTGGTCTCATGTTGGTTTGTTTGTAATTAATGGCCAATCACAGTCAGCTGGCTCGGACTCTCTGTCCAAGACAGAAGCTTTGGTTATCATTCTTTCTATTGTGTTCTTAGCCAGCCTTCTGATGAAATCTTTTCTTCTATTCTTTTAGTATAGTTTTAATGTAATATATATCATAAAATAATAACTCAAGTCTTCCGAAACATAGAGTCAGATCCTGGTCTCTTCCCTCAACCTGAGACCCCTCTGAACACCATCACAGGAAAACGCATTTTTCGGACGGAGAAAACAAATTTTTGGACAGAAAGAAACAACCCCAACCTGGTGATGATGGCGAGGTGGGGAGGGCTCATGCAGGCCCCCATGAAGAGCACCACGTTCTCGTGTCGGGTCTGGCGGTAGGCCATGACCTCCCTCTTGAAGGCCTTGAGCTGGTCCTCGTTGTCGCGCTCGATGTCGATGAGGCGGATGGCCACCTCGCCATGCCAGCGCCCGTGGAACACCTGCCCAAAGCGGCCCTTGCCGATGAGCTCGCCGATCTCCAGCTGCTCAAAGGGGATGTCCCACTCCTGCAGGAAGATGCTGGTCTGGCTGGCCTTGCGCGGGAAGTTGCGCGCCGAGAGCAGCGACAGGTTCATCTCCTCAAAGTCGTCTTCCGACTCCTGCACCTCCTCGGCACCTTCCTCATTCTGTGGTGGGCAAAGGGCATGGGGAACCATAAACCAGGGAGGAAACTGCAGGAAAAACCCCACTGACCCAATTCCTGCTTGTTCAGACCCAGAGGAACCAGGTAGGGGCCTCCCAACACCAATGGAGCAACCCCGTTCTACACAAAGTTAGCAAAATCCCAGATTTGCATAGAATCATGGAACCCTTTAGGTTGGAAAAGCCATCTGGGATAGACTCCAACCCTTCCCCAGCATGGCCAAGGCCACCACAAGCCCATGTCCCCAGGTGCCGCATGCACAGGGCTTTACATCCCTCCAGAGCTGGGGACTGCACCGCTTCCCTGTGGAGCCATTTAACCTCATCCTGGGGCTAAATTTAATATTGTGACCCATCAGAGATTTAATTAATTTGTCTTAAAACAGCTTCATCCTCCCCTGGTTGAGCTGTGCTCTGTTAATTCCCATTATTCCCAGACCCCTTGATGTTCCATTAAGGCTTCCTACAGGATTTACAACACCCCTTAAAAGCTCCATCCTCATCTTCCCTCTCCTTTCCTTCCCTCCCAGCGCATTTTTAATGCCTCCTAAAAAACCTCATTGAATTCCAAACTTGAAGCCCAGGAGGGTCCCTCTCCATGGGGTGGGGACACGGATGCCTGGACTTTAATTCAATTATCAGCAATTCCACTGCACAGATGGGAAACGTCTCCATTTCCTAGGAAATGTGCCCCAAGATATCCTTAAAACCAAGGCCCATTAAGCACAGGAGCCATCTCACCTCCGAGGTGGGCTCCACTTCAATTTGAAGCAATGGGTTTCCTTCCAGGCTGTTAAAAGAATTATGGAATTAACACCATGGAAAAACACCGGGATCTGGGGAGCAGTCCCTCTTCCTGCCCCAGGGATAAAGGGATCAGAGAGGAGAAGCTGTCACTAACCCAGGGAAAGGGACAGATTTACCCCCCCACACTGATTCTGACCACACTTGAGGCATTTTCAGGGATTTCTAAGATTTTTTTGCAACAAACCCCAGCCAAAGTAGAAGTGCAGAAGGAAGGAAAAGGAATTTTTCAATAATTTTGGAGAAGTAGAGGGTTCAAAGATCCTCTCTCTGCAGTAAAGCACCCAAATCTGACTGGTTTTCCGGTTCTTTTCCTTCCCTGTTCACTCAGCACCTCCCACCCCCAGGCCCATGATTGGGGTCTGCTGCTCCTGATAATTAACGGGAAATTAGGGAAATTCTGAACGAGGGATCAGCTGGAACAGCTCGGGTGCCTTCAAACATCATATAAATATATTATAAATTATTATTATTAATCTCTTCCCAGGGGAATTACGCTCCCAGGCCACTCGGACATGGCGATCCTACAAGTCCTATCCCATTCCACAGCCACTAAAAACTATAAATCCCAGGATCCTACAAAAAAGGAGTAAATCCTGGTATTTTGAGCAGCTTGGGAAGCCCAAGTGGCTGCAAAACATCTTCATGGATGGGTGGTTTGCAGGAGCAGCCAGCTCCTCATTGCTATCCCAGGCACGGATTCCAGAGGATCCAGAGATGTTTAACCCAGCCAAGCCCAGGATGGCTCCCACAGGATGTTTTCAGTGTTGGGGGAGGCAGAGGGAGTCACAGATTTTGGATATTGAAAGCTGTTCCTCCCCAAAAATCCTGTCCTGACACCTTAATTTAGGCAGGGGGGGGAAAATGGGCTTTGGCTTAACCATTTTTCCATGAATTCCCAAGGGACAGTGGTTCCATCCTTTGCTCCACTGGATCCTCGGTGGAATTTGGAGAGTGTGGATGAACCAGCCACAAACTGGGGCCAGACCTGATCCCTTAAACCCCTGGCTTGTGAAATCCTTCCAAAATGGCCTTTAGAGCAAGGATCAGGAGGAACAGAGCAGTGGAATGTCACTGCTGGAGCAGCACAGGCTCCAGGACATCAAGGAATGATGGATTTGGGCTCGACCTGCTGGGGAGGGATGGTTCTAACACTGATAAGATGCTGCTTTTCCCAACTTTCAGCTTAAACTTTATTGTGCTTGAAAATATTGGAAGTGGCGAAGATATGCTGGTTATCTGCTTTTAATTTAATTATAATTCAATTATAATTTAATTAATCCTTTGGGCTTGGGCTTTTTAGACTGAAATCTGGTTTTTTTTCCTAGCAGTGAAGAGCTGTGAGTTATAAATTAACCCTTTGCCCTCCTTCTCAACCTTCGAGGGCTCTGGGGTTTTATCTGGAGCACCTGAGCCCCCAAGGCCAGGGGAGCACCCTGGAGGATTTGGGTGCAGAAGGAAGGGGATGGGCAGGGGGAGTCACTCACATGGGGTTGGAGGTGACGGGGTGCAGGACGACCTGTGGGGCTCGGGTCGGCGTCTCAGGCACCACATCTGGCAACAAGAGAGAGGAGTCAGAGACCTCTGGGGGCATCCAGGGGGGTTAAACCCCACCCTGCACCCCCAGGTCTCGTTTAGTGACACCCTGAGTAGGGCCAGGGGTCACTCAGGGCCACCCAACCCTGCAGCATCAATGGGCTTGGAGGAGAAATCCCACCCCAGCACAAATCCAGGGGTTTGGAGGGCTGGCCATGCACCCATGCCCACCTGGAGAAACCCCAGCATCCAAGGAGAAACTTCCAGAGAGCCTTACCCATGTACCCATCCCCACCAGGAGAAACCCCAGCGCCCAAGGAGAAACTTCCAGAGAGTCTTACCTGGGAAAATGAACTGCTGCTTGTACTTGTAGTAATGGGAGGCTGCAAAAGAGGAACAAGGGTTCAACATTGACATGTGGAGCTGAAAAAGCTCCAGCCTGTGCCCAGTTCTTCACCAGGAAACCTCAACCCCAGTTGTGTGAACCCCTCCTGTGTGATCCAACTTCTCCTACTTCCATATCCCCATATGGAATATTTCATATTCCAAAATGGCACTTAGGATGCCCAGGTCAAAAAATTAAGACTTTTTCTGGATTATAACTCAATTTTCCCCCCCACCATCTTCTCTTCTGCACCATTTGGAGAGTGTCAATGTCATCCATGAAGGTTTGGACACCAGTTTGCCAGCAGGGTGAGAGTCCTGGCCCTCAGGTGGGATTTGGGAACCTCTTGGCATCATGGAGATGCCAAGTGATGGGTTTGGAACTGCTGCCCATTTGGGCCACATTCCACCCTTTTTTCCCTTCTTTGGAGCTGTGTCCATCCTGGAAGGAGTTCCAGGAGCCACTATCCAAAACCAGAGTTTGGAGAGGCTCTGGGTGGTGGGACCATCCACTGGCTCCCATCTCCAGCCCAAGGATTGATCCAGGAGCAGGCAGGTCATGGGTGTGAAGAACTCAGAGCTGCTGAGGCCACCAGGGGTTGGCAGCAGCTCAGAAGTCACCTTCTTATCTCCAAGACCCCAAGGGCCATGGCTCAGCTTCCCCCCTGCAGCTCCGAGACCCCAAAGTCCGACCTCAGCCCTGCAGCAGGACCTGAGCCAACATCAAAGGAGCCTGGAAGGTAATTCCAGCAGGGGAAGGTCACCGTGTCACCATTTCCAAGCTCAAATCCTAATCCCTGAGATGATCATCCTGATGGGATAAACCACAGAAAACTTCCTGGCTGGGGAGATGAAATCAGGGTAAGTCCTGCTTTGGATCCCATTCTGCTCCTGACAGGAATAAAACAGGACAGCCAGAAGTGTCCCAGCATCCCAGAGATCTCCTCTTCCTTCACCAGCTCCATTTTGGGAACAGGTGGACACAGTTCCAGGAGTGATGCTGAGCCATTCCCTCCTGGAAGGGACCTTTCCTGGAGCAGCAGTACATCCCAAAGGAAGGCAGACAGGAGGAGCTTTTTTGGGTCATCTTCCATAACTTCTGTGTCCTGCAGCCACCATGACCTCCCTGCCACTCCCACCATCCCTGAAGAGATGGAGCTCCTGGAGCAGATGGATCCAGGTCCAGATTCCATGGGACAAGCCACGTCAGACATTCCCAGAATCATCTGTCACCCCACACACACTGCCAACCCACTGGGGACCCATCACCCCAAAAAAACATCAGGGTGACCCCAATTTACCCTACTAGAGGGAGCAGCCCCTGGTTTCTGTTTGTGCCTGAGGTAAAATGTCATGGAAAATCCATGGAAAATGGAAAATCCATGGAAAAATGGAAAATCCATGCCTGGAAAGTCTTTGTAGCCTCAAAGGCCGCCAAAGTTGGGCTGGCTCCAACCTTGGAGGATTCCACAACTGGATCAAACCTTGGGCTCTGACCCTTCTTCAAGCAGGAGGTTTGACTAGAGACTCCAAACCGGAACTATCCAAAACTCATCTTTCCTCCTCACTTCTATTTCCACCTTCTCCCCACCTGTCGGAATTCAGTACATCCCTCTGGGTGTCCAGAGTTGTTGAGGACCCTGCCGGGGGCTCAGAGACCCTGGCATGCTGCCCAGAACACCTGGGGATTTGATTTTGACCCTTGGAGCAAGTTGGCAACTTTGTATGAGGATGTGAAAGTCACACAGGTTTGAACAGTGTAATAATAAAATGATCACAGGGTGAAAATGTAGATTTTAGGATTTTTGGTATGGGGGTTATGGAGACAAGATGAGGGAACTGGGTGTGTCCAGTCTTTCTCCTTCTTCTTCTTGTTCTCCATTTTCTGCAGTGATGTTGGCACTTTGGGATTGGTTTAGAGTAGAAGCTCACTGTCTACTGCAGGTGATAGGTATTGGGAATTAAGTGTAAATACGTTATATGTAGTTTGTAGTATAAAAGGACAACACAGAGTGCCTGTGGCTGCCCTGCTGAGCAGATCTCAGCTGGGCAGAAAGAAAATTTTATAGATAAGAATTAATAAACAACCTCAAGACTGAAAAGTGAAGAGTCCAGACTCGTTCTTCAGTTGCACGGGCTGACGCAGAGACACCCTGCACATCTCGGGGCAGCATTTATCACCCACCCCCCACATCCCAAGGACACCCCAGGACACAGGTGGGGACACAGGGAGAGGGTGGCATTACCTGGCAGGTTGAACTGCTTCTGCTGGCGCGGGCACTGCGGGGACGGGTGCAGCGGGGACGGCGGGGTGGCGCTGGGCGGCAGCGGCGGCGCCGGCGAGGACGGCGTGGACGACGTGGTGGACGAGGGGTTGCTGCTGGAATCTGGCTGGTAGGGCACTGGGATGTGGTCCTGAGGGACACAGGGAAGGAGAGAAAGGAGAGGAGGTGGTGAGAGCAGTGTTGGTTGGTGTCACTCCAAGGTGCAAAGGACCACGGGTGACAAAGGACATTGCGGCACTCACATTCTCTGAAAAATCACTTCACTCAGGAGTTTTCTCCTGGGAAGCTGAGAAGCCTCAGAAAAAAATGAAAACAATTCTTTTCTCATTTGCTTCTCCAGTGTTTTGCTCCTTTGGAATGTGTTTGGAGATTGTTTACCCACAGGTGATTGTTCCATTGCATTCTGCTGTAAGTTCTTTTGGCTCATTGGCCAATCAGGGCCAAACTGTGTTGGGACTCTAGAAAGAGTCACGAGTTTTCATTATTATCTTTTCAGCATTCTATAAGTATCCTTTCTGTACTCTTTAGTATAGCTTAGTATTCTTTAATATAATATAATATCATAAAATAATAAATTAGCCTTCTGAGAACACGGAGTCAGATTCATCATTCCTTCCCACAAATACAATATGACATCATCCCACCCATTTCTCCCAGAAGTTCTAGAAAACACCCAGAGCTTTTCCCAAAGCTCTTTGTGTTCCCCAAAGCCATTTCCCACCATAAATTGCCTCCTTTCCCAACTTCATCCCCAGCTGAAGGTTCCACAAATCTCCTGGCTCTGCACAGCCACGGCCACCAAAGGCAGAATTGGGGGCACCACCTTAGGGCTTGGTCCTCGGACACAAAAAGTTCCTGCAGAGCTCCTTGGAGCCAAAGCCCAGGGCCTTGCGGGGAGCAGAAGGATCTGGAAGGAGCAGCCAATACATCCCGAGACATTCCTCAGCATTCCTTGCCTCTTCCCACTCAAGGTCATGGATTTTGGGTGCACACTGAGATGGTTGGGAAGGGACCACTAGAGCCAACAGGCAGGAAAACCTGCTTGGATGTCTTAGATCCCAAAAGGAAAATTGAGGCCAGAATTTCTCCCCTTGCTGCCCAACTTGGAGCCACTGAACAGGGTCTGAGCAGTGCTGAGCTTTCCCATCCCCACAGAATTTCCCTCCAAGGTTAAAAAATCTGCACGAGCCTTCCCCAGCAGGTAATTTTGTCCTAATTAATTAATTCTTAAATGAGCTGGGCTTTCCAGGAAAGCCATATTGGTCATCACTCCATGCTCAATAATCTTGGTCAGGTAAATTATTTTTTAAACAACAAGCGGAGGTCAAAACAATAAGATTTCATGGGGTGTTGGAATTAGAGGAATTTAACTTCCAACTCAGGCCATTCCATTATTTTATTCAGGATACCTTTAAAGAAATGCTTTTAGAAATACCAAAGTAAGAAGGGGGCCCTCCTGTAATAAGAATATTTATGGGGGAAATTTCAACCTGAATGGGAGCGCTCAGAACAAAGGCACCACCCCAAAACAACAAAACTAGAGCAGATCTCTATACCAAGAAATTCCTTAAAGGATTTAGGTTTAAAATCAGTCTCCAGGAGCATCTTGGTACTCAGACTTTCCCCAGAGCCAGAAGATGCTGAGGGCAGGAGGAGCTCAGCCAGGCTTTGGGAATTCAGGGTTTTGTTGATCCATTCCCCATCAGGTCAGTGATATCCCTCTTTCTGAGCACTTCCATCCTGCCAACACCTCACCCTGCCCTTCCTCCGAGGAATTTTCCACTGGAGGCCAACAGGCTTTAAATTCCATCAGCACCAGCCCTGTGATGGGTTTATTGTATCAAGGCAGAGCAGGAGTGAGCCAGGTGCTGTCAGGTCTGGCTTGAGCAACTTCGCCAGGGACAATCCAATTCCAGGCTGGTTTTATTTGCAGCAATAAATCTGTTATTTATTGAAGCCTCCACTGGGAGCAGAGACCTCAAACCACCCCAAATTCAGCTTGGACCTAGAGATTGAGAGGCCACAATGGAAGAAAAGTGAGACAGCAGGACCCAGGCTGTTCTGGAAGTGCTGATCCCATTTTATATTTAAAAGAAATAACTTCATTGGGTACATGTTCAGAGAAGGGGCTGAGGGAGCTGGGCAGGGGCTCAGCCTGGAGCAAAGGAGGCTCAGGGGGCCCTTGTGGCTCTGCACAGCTCCTGACAGGAGGGGACGGCCGGGGGGGTCGGGCTGTGCTCCAGGGAACAGGGACAGGAGCAGAGGGAACGGCCTCAGGCTGGGCCAGGGCAGGGGCAGGGTGGGTTTGGGGAAATTCCTCTTGGAAACGGTGGTCAGGCACTGGCACAGCTGCCCAGGGCAGGAGGGAAACCATTTAACAGCCATGTGGATGTGGCACTTGAGGACATGGGACAGCAATGGCCTTGGCAGTGCCGGGGGAGCAACCAAACTCAACTTTCTTAAAAGATCTTTCCCAGCCTGAAGAATTCCAAAGGTGTGGATTGCAAAGAATGCAAAGCTGCAGATATTTGTGTGCAGGGGGTCCTGTCCCTGTGGCAGGGTGTGCACATGGAGGCTCAGGGCTCACCTTGTTGAATTTGCTGGTTTTGGGGGGCTCAGGGCTCACCTTATTGAGTTTGTTAGTTTTGGGGAGCTCAGGTAGGGAGCTCAGGGCTCACCTTGTTGAGTTTGTTGGTTTTGGGGAGCTCACCTTGTTGAGCTTGTTGGTTTTGGGCAGCGTTTGGCTGACGTGCAGGTCCGAGTAGCGCGGGGGCTTCCTCAGGGGGTTGTTGATGTCACAGGGCACCGACTCTGTCCGGACTAACCTCGCTGGATTCAGAAGGGACAGAGGGGAAAAGGGGATGGAGAGGAGGGGGAGAGAGAGGGAAAGACATCAAAGTTCAGCAGGATTGCTCGGGGCCTCCCCGTGCTTGCAAACCGCTCTCCAAAGCGATTCCCGCCGCACTTCCAGCCGGGGACGGCAGCTGAGCTTCGGGATCCTCCTGCACCCCGGCCACAGCCAACCCCCCCGGGGCGTGAGGCAGCAATCTGGGGGCTCCAGCAGCTGCCACGGCCCCTCTGTGAGCCGGGGCTCAGCCAGCACAATCCTGCTTCTTGCTGGAGCGTTTTGGGGTGAAGGGAAGGAGCCGGCTCACAACACTCCCAGCAGGGGGAAAAAGCCAGCCTGAAGGTTGGGGGGTTCAGGAACGGTTTAACTCCAAGATAATGGATTTAAGAGCTGGGTTTGGGATTTTTTTGGTGCGGTGGGGAGGTATTTCAGTGATGCTGAGGCCACCCCAAAGCCATGCTGCTCCTGAAACACACAGCGGGCAGCTCTGGCTCTGGCAACATCACAGCCCCAAATCCCAATTCCTGCCCATCCCAGGAGCCCGATTTTCCCTTCCCTGCCTCCCGTGCAGGGTTTGCAGCAGCTCCGAGCCCGACCGGGGGATCTTCAACCGCTTCCACCCAAATTTGCTGCAAGCGAGGGCATGGGGTGGAATGGAGACTGTAAAATCGCCTCCTCTGAGGTGCCACCAGCACAATCCTTTTCCCCGAGATTAAACCAAGGAGCGGGTTTGGGGAGGGATATTTAACAATTTGACACAAAGGAACAGCTTTAAGAGCTCAAAATTCAAGGCAAGAGCGTTTCTCTCAGGCAGTCGCGGTCCTCTGGCCAGCAAAGGGAGCCAAAATCTGGAAGAAAAGAGGTGGGGAAGCGCCGCCCCGCCGTCCTGCTGCAGGGTTCTGCCTGTCTCCGTGCGGATTTTAGGCCGGGCTCGATAAGGCAGCTCCAAAAAGCACCACGAGCATCCGCAGGGCGCGGGGACCCCGCATGCACCGGGGGGGTTTCGGGGTCCCCCGTCCGCCCTGAGCTCTCGACAGAAGCAAAAAGGCGAAAACCTGGTTTGGACTTACCCCGTGCGGTGGGGAATCTGAAAAGAAAAGGAGGCAGGGGGAGGGTGGGTGGAAGTGGTTTGCAATGCAAATCTGCCTCGCCCCGACCGGCTCGTCTCCCTACAACAAGCGGAAAAAACGGTGGGTAACATTTCCCCCGGAGAGCCCGAGCGGTTCGGGAGCCTCCGTCCCGCCGGGGACCCCGCTCCCGAACCCCCCGGGGGAGCTTCCGAACGTTTTACCCCAAAACAAACCATCCCCGGAGGCTCGGAGCGGGGAGCGCTCACCTCCGCGGTGGATGATCAGCAGGTGACACGGGGGCGCCTCTTTGGTGCATTTGTTGTGGCACTTGAGCCTGGCAGGGGACAGAGAGAAAGGAGTGAGAAGGGAAAACTGATGGATGGAGGGACGGGATAAGGGGAATGGATTCAAAATGGGCAGGGATATTGGGAATTGGGAATTGTTCCCTGGCAGGGTGGGCAGGCCCTGGCACAGGGTGCCCAGAGCAGCTGGGGCTGCCCCTGGATCCCTGGCAGTGCCCAAGGCCAGGCTGGACATTGGGACACCCTGGGACAGTGGGAGGTGTCCCTGCCATGGCAGGGCTGGAATGGGATGGGCTTTAAGGTCCCTTCCCATCCAGGCCATTCTGGGATCCTGTGATGGAGTTTTCCCCTCCTTTTCCCCTTGGGAAAGTGGCTGGATGCAGGGCTTTGGTCACTCACTCAGAGTGAGCCCTCCAGGCTCCCTGCTCCCCATCACTGCCAAGCAGCACCTCAGGGATGGGGAACAGTGTGGGATGCATGTCCTGGGAATCAGGAGGGGCTGCACATCCCTGGAAAACGCCTCCATCCCAATGGGGCAGCACAGAAATTCCCAAACCTGGGGGCTCTGCTCCTTTCTGGGCCAGCCAGGCTTGAGGACGTCCCAAATTGTCACTTCTGCCAGAGCTAGCTGCAGCAAAAGGAGCACTGAGGGGAAGGGTGTACTGAAGGTGGGACAGGATGAGCTTTAAGGTCCCTTCCAGCCCAAACTATTCCATAATTCCATGAAATCCCCATTCCCACCACCCTGCTGCTGAATGCTTAACTAAAATCAGGAGCAGCAGAGGGGGAAGAAGTGTCTGCCCCAATCCCTGATGTATCCCTGCCATTGTGCCCCCCTCTCCTGCCTTTATTAAGGACATTTAGCCAAAATAAAGAGAGGATTTACAGCCTCTGGATATTCTGCAGAGTTTTCCTGGTTTTTTTCAGGGCAGGAGTCTGGAGGGCTTCACCCCCGGGTCATGCATATAGGCATGGGCAGACTCCCAAATACTCCCCATTCCTCCTTAATTAAGGATGGAAACGCATCCCCAGCTCACTGCTCTGCCAGGCCGGCAGAAAGCCATGGGGGAAAAGGGAAAAAGGAGGAAAGGATTTATCAAAACAAGGGGAAATGATGGGGGAAAAAAAAAAAAAGAACGGCAGCTTCAAGTCAATGAGCTGGGTAATGAAAATTCAGGAGCTGCCCGTGTTAGCTTTTATTACAAAGCTGTTCCTAGAGGGAAAGGCAGGAATTAATTTGGTATTTGAGGCTTGGGGGGTTTGGGGTCCGGTTGTTTGTTTTACCTGTTGGTTCCCCTCTGCTTTCTGGGGAAAGCAGCGCCGGGGCAAGGCTGGAAAAAAAACCTAAATGCCTTGTGTTCACTGGCAACTTTGGACTGCCAGGAAATGGATTAGTTCTTTTGTGTAGGATTACAGGGAGCAGGATTTGCACAGCCAGAGCCACAGCATCCCTGATCCCGGTCAGGGATCCCTCCTCCAGCACGGAGAGCTGGCAGGAAAATCCTCCAGCTCCTTGAGCATGGATAGAACGGGAATCACCCCTTTAAAATCCCCGTGTTCGATAACATCCCTTCCAGCTGCGGAGTAACCGAGAGCTTCTCGGCAGGTTTAAATCCCAATTTACCAACTCATCAGCGCTTAATCAGCGGCAGCAGCGATCGTTCCCGCTCCGTTACCCGCAGACAATCGCACATCCCCAGCTCCCGTACCGGGGAAAGGCAATCCCGGCCCCGGGAAAGGCAATCCCGGCTCCAGGAAAGGCAATCTCGGCTCCAACAGCACTTTCCCCAGCTCTGGTGGCCGCATGGATCTGTCCAAGGCCGGGCTGTGACAGATTTGGAGCAGCTGAAGCAGCCCCAGCCTGGATATTTTCCCACTCCTATCCCGTTTTATCCCCTCTCCTTTGCACCATGGATTAATTAATTTGGCTCCTCAGGGCCCTGCCAGGATGCAGAGGTGCCCAAAACTCGGCAGAAATAGAGGTTACGGACCAAAACCGTGGGCAAAACCCTCCTGATGGCCAGAGCTATCCCTGCCTGGTGCTGCAGATAATTCCACCGGGAATCTCCATAACGTGGGATGCAAAGCCAGGCCTGGGGAAGGGGCCCTGCCAGGATCTGACTCAGAGCTCTGGCGGGCACATCCTCCCCGAGGAGCCCGATCCCCTCCCAGACACAGCCCAGCCCTGCTTTGGGGTGTTATTCACCCAATCTCACAGCTCATTAAAGCTTCCTGTGAGGATGAGCTGGCCAGAGCCGGGCTGGTCTCTCCCTGCCCAAATCCCTGCTCGGCTCCCCCACTGGCAAAACCCCGATTTTCCCCTCCTGGTTTGAGGGAGTGACACGAACAGCTCCAGCACGGCGCCATACTTGCAGTTTTTGCATTTTAAGCCGAACAACATTCCCTTCCCGCAGACGGTGCAGGTCTGAGACATCCAGTACTTGGTGGAAAACCTGTGGAGAGAAACACAGAGGGAGAGCTGAAGCCTCACTCATCCCCCCAGCCCTGCTTCATCCTCTCTCTGCTGCCCTCAAATTCCTCTGCAGGTGTTGAGGAATTTTTCTAGGGATGCCAAAACACAACCCCGAGCCTTCCTTTGCTTCTGGAAGTTTATTCCAAAGAGAATCTGTGAAAAATGCATGTATTTTGTGATTGGCTTTTTTGCAAATACTAAAATGAGTATTGTATGTGTTGTTTTAGAAAGTAATGCTGTATTAATTCTCTTAAGTAGTGTGTTAAATATAATTTTAGGTTATAAAAATTGTTAAAATAGAAACGATGCTCTGTAGGATACTTTCTTTAAAGAAAGGACCTGCAGTGAGATAGCAGCCACAGGACATCCGAATCTTTCAGAGAAAAAGAATTTATTGCCCTCTTATCAGAAGAAATTATCTTCTTCCCACCTCGAAGGCGCTGTTAGGATTCAGAGGAAGAAGCTGACACTGCCCAGACAGAATCCTGTGTTTGAATGGAATTTATGCATCATGTATGAAGTGTATGAATATGCAACAGGCTGTTGCTTTTAAGGGTTAATCTTTTGTTAACTGTGTCCTTTTGGGGGCTCGTGCTGCCCAGAAACAGGTACCCGGAGTGTCTGTAACTCTTTGTATTTGTTGTCTCATATTGTCCTAATTCAATTTGTCCAAATTGTTATTACTCTAATTGTATTACTATTTTTATAACCATTTTATTACTATTAAACTTTTAAAATTTTTAAAACAAGTGATTGGCGTTTTTCACAGAATCCAACCCCCAGCTCCCCGTGATTCCCACCCCAGACACCCCCAAAAACCCTGCTTGCCCTGGGCACCAATGTTTGCATCTCCCCATCAAACAGCAGCACTCTTCCCGCTGCTTTTCCCTCTTCAGGGAGATAGGGAAGGTTCTAATCCAGAGATGGGGAATTTGCTGAAGGCTGGCAAGGTCGCAGATAACACACAGATTTATTGATAGCGGCTCGAGCCTTATCTAAACCAGATCTGAACTGAAATGGAATTGAAATGGGCTTGGAGGACAGCACAGCCCAGCACGGGAGAGAGAAGGGGAATGTCCCCAATCTCAGTGTCCTGGAGCAGAGATGGGAAGGGAGATGCCCATCCCTCATCCCCCAGGTGGGGAGGGGCCCACCTGTGTTTTATGGAGTTTCCTAAATCCCGCCGAGGGATCTGCGGGGACCAGCGAGGCACTGACAGCGTATCTGCAGGGAGAGACCAGGAAAAAACAGCGCTGGTAACAGCATCGAGGGCTGGGGTTCGATCTTTTGGGAAAGGGAGCAAAGGATGTGCAGAAAACAATGGGATTTTCCTGCTATTTCCCCCTGGAATGCCTCTCTGGGGAGCAGGAGAGCTCTGGGATTTGTGGGGCTGTGGGAACTGGGGTCTGCTGTCCCAGACCCCATTTGGGGTCTCCTGTCCCAGGTCCCATCACCAGTTTGGACCAGGGATGGGGAGAGGAGAGGGAGAGGGAGAGGATGCACTCATGTGCAGGCAGGGCGGGATTGCAAAACTTTTGGAATCACATCAGGATGTCCAAAGAAGAAAGGGAAAATAAAGCTGGAGCAGCCTCATCGTCAGTTTTTAATAAGACATCACGGCTTGAGGTGGCAGCTGAGGAAAAGCTGAGTGCCAGCCACTCCAAAGGTGATTCCATTCCTGTTCCAGGGGAAGAACAGAGTTAAAATCAGCCCCAGGGCTCTCCTTCCAAGGGAAAAGTGGGAAGAGGGATAAGGACAAAGAGGGAAGATCTCTGTCACCGATGGAGCAGGAAGGCAATCAGGAGCATGGCCATGCTTGGATCCCATCCCCTCCTTCAGCCTCGGCAAGGGTGGAAAAGCTGCTCCTCCTCCTCCTCCTCTTCCTCCCGGCCACGGGAAAGGTCCTGCCCCGCAGGATGCTCAGCCCTGGAGCTGATCCATGCCGGGATCCAAGGCTGGATTTCCACTCGGGGATTTGCGAGGTTTCCCGAGCACCAGCGGTGGCTCCCGTCTGTTTGCTCAGAGCGCCAGCAAATCCCTGGCTAAACAGGCGCGGGATATTAGCCCAGGGAGCAGGGAGAGCCGCTGTTTGCTTTAATATCCCATTTTAATATAGCGTCTCTAATTGCACTCGGCGGCTGAAGGTTACATTTACATCCCTCTCCCCCGGGTTCGAAATGCTGGGAGCAGCCCAGGCTGATCCTGCTCCAGCACCTCCGACCTGCAGCAGCTCTGGATCCTTCTCTTCCTCTGGTCATTCCTCAGGCAGAGGCGGCGATTGAGATGTCAGAACCACACAAGCATGGAATGGGTTGGGTGGGAAGGGACATTAAAATCATCTCATTCCCATGGGCAGGGACACTTTCCACTGTCCCAGGGTGCTCCCTGGTCTTGGGCACTGCCAGGGATCCAGGGGTAGCCCCAGATTTTCTGGGAATTCCATTCCATCCTCTCCCCACCCTCCCAGGGAGCAATTCCTTCCCAATATCCTATCCATCCCTGCCCTCTGGCAGTGGGAAGCCATTCCCTGTGTCCTGGCTTTATCCACCCGTGTAAAAAGTCGTTCTCCTTAATTTTCATAAGCTCCCTTCAAAGCCAAGGAGGGGAGTTCATGTCCCCAGCACCATATTGCCAATATTTTGGATATTTTTGATATTTTCTCACCAGTCTTTGTGACAACTCACCCTCCACAACCTGCCGGGGTAGGAATTTGGGCCACAAATCCCAGAGGTGAGTGACCCCTCCATGCCCAGCCTCCCTGAGCATCATTCCCACCTCACTAAATCCTGTTAAAAAACTGAGTTGTCATCACCCCTCCCTCCAACGCCGCTCCCTGAAGAGCCAAACACCCCTGGCCAGAGCAGCTCTTCTCCCAGAATTAAATTACAACCTCCGCGTTATCAGCCACAATTTATTCCCACTAACTTTCGGCTGGCCTCAATTAAATCCTGCCCGCCCGGCGAGGGGGAGAGGGGATGGAGGCAACGGCGGCTGCTGAGCCTTTTAATTACTTTCTAAATGGGCTCGCTGCAAAAATGTATTGAAGTGTAGCGGGGATTTTGACCTCGTAACATAAATGAGCCCGACGTGACTCACAGCTAATTACCTTCATTAGCGGCAGCGAGCCACGTAGGATGGCGGCGTTTAACAATAGAGCCGCTGTTGGCAGGAGGGGAAAAGCAGCGGAGCGGGGCAGGAGGGCAGGGAGAGGCACCGGGGACCAGCCCCGAGGGTTTGGGGGGGCTCTTGGGGAGTCCCCCCTCTACCCGGATTCCTGGCAGGGTTAACTCGGGGGGATGCCCAGGGGGAGATGCAGCAGCATCCCCCCAGCGCAGGAGGAATATTCTCATTGACCCCCCCCCCCCCCAAATTACCAAAATTAGCGTTAATTACAAGGGGAAAACCCCCATCAGCAGGTCTTGGTTCAGGGTGGGACGGTCGGGCGTTGTTGTGGGGACCTTGTGATGGAGAAGTGATGGCGGGATCGGATGATCCTCGCAAGTTTTGAAGCGTGACAGCGGCTGCATCTCCCCCATCCTCCCTCTTTGCCTCCCTCTCTCCCTCTTTGCCTCCCTCTCCTATGTCCTCCCTCTCTCCAATCCTCCCTCTCTCCCTCTTTGCCTCCCTCCCCTCCATCCTCCCTCTCCTCCATCCTCCCTCTCTGCCTCCCTCTCTCCGTCTTTGTCTCCCTCTCCCCCATATTCCCTCTCTCCCTTTTCCCTCTCTCCTGTGCGCTGGAGCTGTCCCCGTGCCAGTGATTATTTAAACCTTTATTTACCACCAGCAGCCTCCTGCCTGCCTCAAAAACCCGAATTATTCGGCCACAATTCCCCTCACCTCATTTCCCCCGCTCCGAGCTGGCATTTCACTGGGCACAAGTGGAATTTCGCACCCACTGGGCTGGATACTTCTCCTGGTCACCCACCCCATTTCTGCCTCCTGAGGGGTTCCCAAAAGCCAAACTCCGCTTCCCGATGTGGCAGCCCAGCCAGGGAGTGCCACACCGTGTTTTCCTTCGCAAAGGTCAGGGCTCCGGCTCGGCTCATCCCAAAATCAACAGCCGCGCTTGATGGGATCAGCTGTGCCGGGGCAGGGGAAAACCGACCGGAGGACGGGTGACAGCCACCTCCGGCGTGTCGCTGACAGGCGACACGGCACAGAGCGCTGGCGGCCGCTCCCCGGCGGTGACAGGCAGCTGTGACAGCTCCTGAGTGGCACCCGGCGCCTCGGAGGTGACGGGGACGCGGCGGCGCTGCCGTGGCCGTGACGGCCTCGCTGCCCCCGCTGCTGTCCTGGCAGAGCCAGGGTGGGGCAGAGTCTGTGGAGCTTCCAGAGCTCCATGCAGGATTGAGACTTTACTGTAGTGTAGTGTATAATAGAGATAATTCATGCTATTAATATATAAAATACTGTAACTGTAGTGTAGTGTATAATAGAGATAATTCATGCTATTAATATATAAAATATTGTAAGATCCAGACTATGTCTTTTGACCACCCCAAGCGGGAACAGTGTCTTATTCATATTCATCTAGTTCCCTGATGACGTTAAGATAATATCAGGTTCTTTAATGTTAGAATGGAACCTTCCTGGGTGATGATCACTGACTTCTCCAGGTCGCCAGGACCACTCAAGAGTGATGATCACCCCGAAGATTGCATCTACCACCATGATTACCGGCACCACCCTGTTACATGTGAATGCTGACTTCCCCAAAGTTCTCTGACAATGTCTAGACACCTGAATATAGTAGAGGTGGCCTTTGAGTCCTAGTAAAATATCTGTATTGTACTTGAATATCTGTAAGTAAAAGGAAAGGGGGAAATATAGTGCTTGAATATCTGCATATAGGCCTTGCCCCAGTAGGTCCCAGTTGTTCTTGATGGGCTGCAGCTGTGATGTCCTTAATTGGGCGGCAGCTGTGGCTAATGACGATAACTGGGATTAAAGGGGGTGGATTGGCTGGTCAGGGAGAGCCTTGGAGGAGCCCTGAAGAAGAAGAAGAAGCAGGAACAACACTGCTGTGAAGAGCTGCATGTGAGAAAACCACCCAGAAGGTATGGGACTCTAGAAATCTAATAACAACAGTATGGGACTCTAGAAATATGACTACAACAACGGTGACCCCGACGTGATGGAGATATGCAGCCTGAAAAGCTGTGGAAGGTATGGGACTTTAGAAATATGATAACAACAATATAGTAACAACACCTGGGCTGGACTTCTGTCTACCTCTACACATGTAAAGCCCCTGTTCTGCATGTGAAGGGATGCAAAGAACATTCGGTCATCTCTGCCTCAGGCAGAATAAACTGTACAAAACTCGCTGCCGAAGCAGCATTTGTGGACCAAGGGGGAGACTCTGACACATTTGAGGTCAGATCCGTGTTCACCCAGCGCCGATCCCGGGCTCGACGCTGCCCGTGGCTGTGGTGGTTTTTGATGATTGAAATTCGGTCTCGCTGACAAATTAATGAATCTTTGCTAAATTTTCTTATAAGTTTGGCTCTCGATTTGATCATTTATAACTGTAGGAACTGCTGAGTCATGATGAGACAGCAAAATAAGCTCCTGTCTTCTACCTCTTGCCCCATAGCTTATCTCTGTAACCCCATAGGTCACTTTTCCCCTAACCCTTACTATTGGACAAGTTTGGATCCCTTATACCCTATAAAAACGGGCTGGTTTAGCCCATCTGACAGAAGAAGAGCTGTCGCTGGACCCTTCACAGACTCCCCAATAATCCATCGCTGTGGAACCGCCAGGAGCTCTCCTTCTCCTCTCTTGCATCTGCTGCAGCCTCAGCCAAGGGGTCCCTGCCTAGCAAGCAAAGAGCTGAAATTCTGGGAGAGCTGAGAATCACTAAAGAGCTGACAATCACCAAGCTTGCTAAGGGTGGCCAGTGGCTGAGAGCTGACTGGGTATTCGGGCACTCTGTCTCCCAGAGGGACTGAGTTATTCAGACCATCCTGCATGGCTTGGTGATAAGGCCAAGATTGGGGTCTTATCACTGGGTGAATTCTGGTTGGGCCCCAGCTGGGCTGCCTGGGCGTGTCCTGCATGGAGAAAAGCACCTGAGCTTCCCCGTTTCGTTATTTTGGGGTTGCACCTTCCTTGGGGTGGTGGAGATGCCCTCAGAGAGTCCTAAAGCCTCCCCAAGGATGTTGTAAATCAAAGGTGATGAAGGGGTGAGAGACTGATGCATCTGACTCCATCATCAGAAG